AAAAGTGCATGTAGGATGTACATTAACCCAGGTTGACTTCCCTTGACAACCATGATTTGTAGAGACATCATTGCACTGATCATCCAGTCCCATCCCAACCCACATGCTGTCCTATACCTGTACAGCTGTACCACGAAACACAGTCTGCAGACAGTATATATTCAATGTTGGTGTTATCATTACAGAGTAAAAGGAAACAGAAATTGATATCAAACTTAGGCCCTGACTGTGACACAGGTTGTTCAGTAGTTCACAGAAACCTCCTGAGGAAAAACACGGGCACAACTGCACAACATACATGTATATTGTGCCTCTCATGTACCAGTATGTATGTACCGGTAGACTATACAGTACATGTAAATGTGCCAGTTACAGAGCGACGGTTGACTGCCCGCCTACCCACAGTGCACATGTTCTCAATGTACCCTAACTCTGGCATAGAGTATGGTGTAGTCTACTTGGACTTCTGACTCCTTTTCAGTGTGCATTGCTTCATTCTTAATGCACTCATATTCTTTTCACAATGGTTTTCCCAACCCCTGTAGCCATGCAGCTGTCAACATGGTGCTTATGTGGGGTTTGGAACCTTTTTTGTTCTCAAACGAGCATGCAGGCAGCTCCTTCCACTGCATCGCCCAAAATGTTTATGGCTTGTTTTTCAAGTGGCTGGGCATTCTGCAATTACTCCAAAACAGGAGTGGGTTTTTGATATTTCATAGGAGCAGTATATGTGATGTCTGTACCATTCACAACCAAGTTTGCAAAAGCCCTGACTTCAGTGAAACCAATATGCTCAACGATCAACACATTTATTTTCTGGCTAATAGTACTTGTTCATCATTCCTATTTTCCACTCTAAGCAGCAACAAGAGAGGTGTGTTTTAATGAGTGCGCAGGTCTGCATGTATTTGTTGCAGTGGCTGTTGCACTATCAATTTGCATGAATGGTCTTTGCATATGCGTAGGCACGTGCTCAGTCCCAGTAGAAGAACTTCGACCAGTCTATCTTTTTTTTTGACGGAGAGGGTACACTCCAACTCTAGGTGGATTGGGACTGATCGTTGCAATAGAAAAACGAGATGAACGCTGTGTCTAAACACTGAGGTGTTTCGGGAAACTCTTTTGGTTTGATGAAAAATGAAGTTGGAACGGACGGGAATCGAACAGCTGTCGTTAAGTCCGCAGCTCAAAATTTAACACTCACAGTATATGCAGGGCCCAATCATACATGTGCTTCAGAAGATACAGTGCATTTACCGGAACAGAACAGGCCAGAATCAAATTCCGCTCTGGGGGACCACTACCCTCCTTACTACAGCAGTGCATTACAATACACACTCACATGCTTTCCCTGTAATGTGTTTGGCATTTTGTTAGATTCCCGCAAAATAGCAGGGCTCCTTTACACGCTTTACATCTCCAAAGTATATGGCTTTTACTGCTACGACTGTTACCCCTACGGGTGGTGTTGCCAGCATCAGCAGCCTAAGGCACTTTTTTTTCATTCTCGGCGCATGGTGTTTATGAAAAATATAACAAGCCCAATGTTTGGACAATGGATGCAAATATTTACTCCATTTTTTGATGAGCAATTTCACACTTAGCCGTTGGAATTGACTTTTTGTGATGTTTAATAAATTAAATTTTTTTCCATTGTAACTTTCGGTCTGATGAAGTCATCAGTCTAAATTTTTGCACAAATGTTACAGGCATAAAGGTGATTACAGTACCAATTTTCAAGGCATTCCAGCAAACTTTGCCACAGACATCTGTTCCAAATAGATTTTTGAAAGTTTTTTAATCTTTTGATAGAGGGCGCTCGAGTGTTGCATGATGTCACCAGTAAATGTTCCGAGGAAAACTATTGTGTTGAAGACTAACACCATTGGAAGTAGGTTCATCACGATTATCCATTTCAAATTATAAAGCAGTTCCGTTTTGGACCGGAAGTAAGGGTCAAGCAATTTTACCTACACGAGAAGAAATGATGACCAACGACCACTCTCTTACAAGGTGCAAAATAGAAGCTGCTGGAAGTCACTGTTGATTTTATGAGGATGTTTGAACATTTTGTATTTTAAGTGCTTGTAGTTTGACACCTGATGACATCATCATGATGTCATTTTTCTAGTACATTGTTGCTAACTAAGGATTTGCTTTGTGTACCTTTGATGAAGTTAGCAAGATTGCCAAGTGGCCAAAAAGCACTGTCAAAATCGTGTAAAAAAATGGGTAAAAATCAAATATTCAAAATTCTATGATAAATCAGATGATGACATCATAATGACATCATGATTCGGCATAACAGATGTTAGTCTAACTATGTGCCAAGTTTGAAAGGGATCAGCCCAATGTAAGACCCAAAAAGTCGTGAGTAGAACAACCCCTTGTTATGTACATGTATATGGGCAAAAGTGAAAAACACGGGGAAAAAAGTTTTGTTTAAGAAAGAGAAAAAACATTTAACAAAAACAAAAGTTGTTTTTGCTGAGGTCAGAAACAGCTGAAAAAAATAAAAAGAAAAAACCTTAACAAAAATAAAAGCCATTTTGGCCGGTGCCCGAAACAACTAAAAATACAACTAACATATGTACAGTGTGGGTTGTGTACTGTATTACACATGGAAATGATAATTGGAACATTGCAGGGCAACATTCATCATTCGCATGGTCTGTTTCACAAATCCTGGCAAAGAAAACTAAAACCACTGGAAGTAGCAGATGAAAGTGCCAGACCTCAGCCGTTCTTGATCTCTTGAAATCAATGCAAACAATCAGGAACAGCATCCAGAACATTTAAACATACATGTACATGTACCAACCAGTCCCATCTACAAGTACATATCTGTATGAGATTTTAAAGGAAATGTACTCTTTAATCACATCTAAATTCTTTATTTTGAGCACCAGGATAGGACTGTGGTATGGTAGGTACTGTACCTGCAATAACATGTGAATTTGCACTAAACAAATCTCTTTAAAAAATGGGGAAGTT